GTAAGATTTGTGGAAATTTTTTCATCTTTTTATAAGTTTACTTCAAAAGTAAAACATTAATAAAGATGAAATATAGCTTATTACATAAACATAGGCTTGAAAAGAGAATATATCTTTGTTTTAAGTGAAATATGTTACTGTTACTACAAAAAATTATGTTGTATTTTATCATATGGGATCAGTGTGTGTTTGATGTTCTATGTTCAGTTATCCCACTGCTTTGTTTCACCATTTAGAGAATCCAAAGTTCAGCAGTTACATCAGAAAGTGGTCAGACAGAGACTTTATTAAGGTCCAGCAGCATTGCAGAAACTGAAGAAGAAAAGGCTTCTACGGGATCGGAAGAACTTAATTTGTCTCAGATTGAAGCTGCTGTGACCACACCAGGTGAAACTGAAAAAAATGTTGCCATCCATCCAAGAGGTTCGCTTGAACAGAAACATAAATCTACTAACACAGTCCATTGTAGTGTGGAAGATATAGCATGTCAGACAGATTTTCTTTTAAACCAGAGTGTTCAGACAATCTTGGAGAGACGAAGAACTGTGACATTTTTTGGAGATATATCTTTAGAAAATCTAGCTAATGGTAGTGAAAAAACAACCACACAAGTAAATGGATTACCTCATGAAGATTCTGAGATTGATCAAGATCGGAAGCCTCATCAAGAGAAAGCTCAAGAAGCAACTCTGTTTGAAGAAGCAGACCAGACTGAGAAAACAGTTGAAGACTCCCAGGTTTTGACTACACATATCTCAACTCAAAAGACAAAAGCTACCAGAGTTCCTCCTTGTGGACCAGAGTTACAACCTGGATCTCCTGTGCTTATAGTTAACAGAAAAGAAAAACTAAGCAAAAAGGAAAACTTGTGTCCAGAGACTGTTATAGCTCCTCGAGCAAGAATAACAGAATTGGAGGAACTAGTTACACTGTCCCCAGTATCTCAGGAAACTCAAGGTAAGGAAAAATCTAGCCGTCGTAAGTTTAGTCTGCCTCATCTTCGTCTGATGAGGAAGTCTGGATCTCAAGACTCTGACACTTCGTCTCCATCACCGTCCTCTGCTCCTTCAGTTGGTGAGAAATCTCAAAGCCCCAACAAAAGTATGAATGGGAGGAAGTCCTTTAAGTTCCCATCACTTAAGAGAAAAAGACAATCTTTACCGCAATCTTCCTCTTTGGATGCACCAATTACCTTTACTTCTAAACAGTCTGAATATGTTCCTGATATTTCAGGCCCACTCAGAGTATCCTCTCCCAAAGAGAGAAAAGCTTTTATTTTTCCCGATGAAAAAGAAGGAAGGTCTCATATTGCCAAGTTGTCATGAGTTATGCAGTCAGTATGGTCTTTCTGAGCTGTTTGACTGACACAGTGTGTATGCAGTTTCTTAATTATGTCCTAATGTAAAATGACAATCGTATATAAAATTAGGAGACTGAGTCCAACTTTTACTTGTTCAATTCATATATGATGCTTTTTCTCTCTCTCTCAAACTTTAATATTTCTAGTACCCTCTCATAACACAAATTTTATAAAATAATTTTATTACTCTTAAACCCCCCCACCCAACAAGTATGACTTATTTTAGCCTAAACTGTCACTCGATGTAGACCAAAAGTCAAAAATAGTCATGAGGGTTTTAAGGGTAATAAATCAATTTATATAATTTGTGTGAAATATCACTCGGTGCCCTAAGGAGAAGACTGTGTTGTTTGAATAAGGGATGTTTGTGTCATATCACGTACACAGTTTTTGTAGAATTCTTACAATAATCAATCTTTTCACATATACTCACAAATTGGCTTTCTGTTCTGTTTTATGTCCACAATATTGAGCTATCTTTGCCTTTAAAATAATAATTCTTAGAATAATAATAATTGTTCCATATTCCATGAATCAGAAGCATTTGTTTTATCATAACGATATCTAAACCAAATGCTTCTGATACAATAGACATTTCATTTGAACGACATCAAAAACAAATGCTTCTGATACAATAGACATTTCATTTGAACGATACCTAAAACTAATGTTTCTGATACAATAGACATTTCATAACGATATTTAAATCAAATGCTTCTGATACAATAGACATTTCATTTGAATGACATAAATGTCTATTGTATCAGAAGCATTTGTTTTTGATGTCGTTCAAATGAAATATCTTGTATCAGAAGCATTTGGTTTAGATATCGTTATGAAATGCCTATTGTATCAGAAGCATTTGTTTTTGATGTCGTTCAAATGAAATGTCTATTGTATCAGAAGCATTTGATTTAAATATCGTTATGAAATGTCTATTGTATCAGAAACAATCTAAAACAAATGCTTCTGATACAATAGATATTTCATAACAATATCTAAAACAAATGCTTCTGATACAATAGACATTTCATTTGAATGACATCTAAACCAAATGCTTCTGATACAATAGATATTTCATTTGAACGACATCTAAAACAAATGTTTCTGATACAATAGACATTTCATTTGAACGATACCTAAAACAAATGTTTCTGATACAATAGACATTTCATTTGAACGATACCTAAAACAAAGTCGTTCAAATGAAATGTCTATTGTATCAGAAGCATTTGTTTTAAATATCATTCAAATGAAATGTCTATTGTATCAGAAGCATTTGTTTTAGATGTCGTTCAAATGAAATGTCTATTGTATCAGAAGCATTTGTTTTAGATGTTGTTCAAATGAAATGCCTATTGTATCAGAAGCATTTGTTTTAGATGTCGTTCAAATGAAATGTATTGTATCAGAAGCATTTGGGTTTAGATATCATTCAAATGAAATGTCTATTGTATCAGAAGCATTTGTTTTAAATATCGTTCAAATGAAATGTCTATTGTATCAGAAGCATTTGTTTTAAATATCATTCAAATGAAATGTCTATTGTATCAGAAGCATTTGTTTTAGATGTCGTTCAAATGAAATGTCTATTGTATTTCTCTCGCACTCTCTTGATATTGTAGTTTGAAAATTTAAAAACTACCTAGCTAAGTATATTGTAGTATTTTGATTCTATTGCTTTATTTGTTTAAGATTTTGACTAAATTGTGTAGAAAAGAAATAGGTATTTAGATAAAATGGTACCATTTTATTCATCACCAAACATTTTTTTGTTATTTTTCACATAAGTTTATTTATTTATTCAATTCTAGGTGGGTAAATATCTTGAACACAAAGCCTGCAAGATAAGATTGGTTATGGTTATAATAACCGTTATGTACACAATGGGGAAGTGTGGAGTTCTTTCTTTAAGTTCATTGACTGGTTCAGTTTTGGGTAGAATGTTCTACTTGTATTGTATTTTCACTGTTGTGTTTGGGATGTGTATATCCTCATTCATGTGTAAGTATTAGTTATCAAATATCTTGAACACAATGCCTGCAAGATAAGATCAGTCATGGTTATAATAACCGTTATGTACACAAGGGGGAAGTGTGGAGTTCTTTCTTTAAGTTCATTGACTGGTTCGGTTTTGGGTAGAATGTTCTACTTGTATTGTATTTTCAGTGTTGTGTTTAGGATGTGTAAGTATTAGATATCAAATATCTTGAACACAATGCCTGCAAGATAAGATTGGTCATGGTTATAATAACCGTTATGTACACAAGGAGGAAGTGTGGAGTTCTTTCTTTAAGTTCATTGACTGGTTCAGTTTTGGGTAGAATGTTCTACTTGTATTGTATTGTCAGTGTTGTGTTTGGGATGTGTAAGTATTAGATATCAACACGTTAACATCTTCCTATTGTATGTTGAGTGGTATTGTGTGTAGTTTTTACTGTGGCTCAGCCCCTAAAATCTACTTCTCCTATGGGGGAAAGAAATGATTAGAATGTTTTTTGTTTTGTTTTTTCAGTTGTTAAAAGTTTTTAGATGTTTATCTGTATTTCTAAGTTGCTACATTTTACCATATGTTATTTTATTTAGGTGCTTCAATCTGTAAAGACTGTGATTTTTAAATGTATAATAATAAAAGGTTATACTTAATAGAGAAACGTCCATATCAATACTGCCACAAATGAAAAGATGAAATATGGTGATGATTTCAAACATTTTTATTCATTGATCTGGTGCAATGAATATATTTGTGGGAAGCTATAGTTTGAAAGAGGAATACATCTTCCATTTCTTGCAGCTCAACAAAAAACTTTTTACTGATTTGGTCGAGTGCACAGCTCGGGTCTCAGAGAAGTAAAGTTTATTAAACAAACTTAGTGAAAGAATGAAATATAATAAAACTTAATGTAAGTTTAAAGAACCATAAATGACAGGTTCTCACTGTTGTTATGGAAACTTTTATTATGCTACTTGGACTTGTAAGATTTTTTTGTTATGAACTAGTGTAATTAATCATGATAGATTTTGTAGGACTAAACTATGTATATACTTAGTTGTGTGTGTGTTGAATATGAAAGGTTCTGTCCATTTAGTTTCACTATTGTACTGTCTCTAGGAAAGTCTTGTGTTGTTGACTTTTTATCAGTAGTTAAAACTAGAGTACCTTTAGTATTAGGAACTGTTATGTATTTTGTTTTCTGCTTCAGTAACTCATGTTTAAGGTTTTGAAAAGCAACATTTAAAGTTCCATCACAATAATAATTGTCGTGACTAACTTTAAAGTTGGAGAACCTTTGCTCAAAACATGTTTCAAGGTTTTAATTGTGAACACTATGGAATATTAGCAGTGAAAGAAACCATAAGTTGTACAGTAAATGAATAAAAGTGACATAGTAGACACAGTAGAAGGTACATAGAAATCATACAGCATAACAAGATTGGGTGTATAAATTTTGAAATGCAGTAAGTCCAGAACTAGTTATATGGGTGAATGAACTAAAGAATCCAGTAAGTCCAGAACTAGTTATATGGGTGAATGAACTAAAGAATCCAGTAAGTCCAGAAGTAGTTATATGGGTGAATGAACTAAAGAATCCAGTAAGTCCAGAAGTAGTTATATGGGTGAATGAACTAAAGAATCCAGTAAGTCCAGAAGTAGTTATATGGGTGAATGAACTAAAGAATCCAGTAAGTCCAGAAGTAGTTATATGGGTGAATGAACTAAAGAATCCAGTAAGTCCAGAAGTAGTTATATGGGTGAATGAACTAAAGAATCCAGCACATTTAAAGCCATCACTGCAATGCAGTAATAACAGTGAATTTATCAAATAAAAGAAGCTTACAGTTATTGAGTTACTCTATCAGAAAAATATGTGCTAAAATTAGCAGATGTAAAATTTTCAAACAAGTTATTTTCTCATTCCATACCTTTAGCAAACTATTTATGTCTGTATAAATCGGTGGCACGTTTTTAAAGCTGACCTCTTGATCCAAACGTATTTTTCCAAACATCTTTGTCCTCCACTATGTGTTGCCGCTTTAGGCTTTACGTTTCTCAACTATTACCTTTCCAGTATCAACATTTCAAGTGCTAAAAGACTAATCTTCTCACTTAGTGGTCATTTACTTCTGAGCTTTGATGCAATGTGTGTGGTCATAAAAATCTTTAGAAAGTAAATGGTATAGGATGAAAGTAGTCATCAGGTTTTGATAAACTCGGAGCTGGATTTTTGTTACAAATCATTAAAAAGGATCAGTGATAAATATTATTGTTTATTACAATATTTTGTAATATGCTACAACTACAATCTCCCCCTAGTGAGGAAAGTTGATACTTCTATCAGCAATGTTTTTTTATCATTAAAACATAAGGTAATACAGAGAGATTTTGGAAAATAATATACGTTTTCTTCATATTCTGATTACGAGTTTTAAAAAGGCTCTTTGTTTATGATAACGTATTTAATATCATTTGCAATATGCTAATTTAAAAGCTCTTCCTAGTGAGAAATGTGGTTTCATCTTCTGTCATTAAACCCTGAGGAAATATAAAGAGATCTTGGAAACTGGTATTTGTTGGTTACCATATTCAGATTGAGCAATCTAAGTTTCATATCCAGTTGTTTTTAAAATTTACCGTTAAGTTAGGGCTACAGTTTACTTAAGATCTCCACCTGTTGGCAAAGTTCAGAAATAAGTATCGAGTTTTATACACACCGTAAACCTACTCATTCTGACTTTTTATCATTTAGGTTTTAATCAAAAACGGTTTAGGTTTCAGTTTATAATAATTTTTTTGCAATTTGTATGTTTATACGTCATTTATTTTAAATGTTTCTTCTCTTGAAAAAGAAACATGGTATAAATTTGTTTTATTGTTTGGCTGTCACTGGATCCTTTTCTTGAGAGGAATTTTGAATTTATTATTTGTGTAAAATCAATCCTTTTGACAGCGCGTCTGTCTAAGAAAGCAGCTTCATGGTAATTGTTGTAATGTAGAGAACATTTAAAACTCGCCATTAATGCTACCATGCAGAGACCGTGCACAAAGGGTTAATCACGAGACCTGCAAAAGTAATTTCTATTCTGTTGGTCAGAACTTTATCCTGTCTGATGTTTTCGTGAAGTTTGAGGAGAAAATAATTAGTTGATATAATTTTTCATCATGCAGATAATATGCGCCAAGTTTTTATATTTTTTGTGCATGTCTTCATTAAGTTTGAAAAATTATAAATAGCTCCAGTCATATGTCAGAGCCTGTTATAGCATGTCCCATATTAAAATACAGGGTTTTTTTTTCTGTGTGTGCGCGCGCATGCTCAAGCCTTTTTAAGTAATTATAGAAATGTTACGTTGCACAGTTATAATCAAGTCCTATATTGTGACTGATTTTGAAGATTGACTGTCGTTTATAATTTTGAACTCTTCTTTGTATGACTGAATAAAGCTGCATACCGACGTGTATGCTGGTGGGTTACATTAACGTGCTAGCTAAGAACCGAGTTTCCCTGTCCAAAATTTTCTGTAGTACACTGGTTCATCACTAGGA